TTGTTGCACAAGGTTTCAAAATTATTCTACCTTGAAATTTATTCCTTATTGTTATTTCAAAATCCAGACAGAATTTACTTAAATGTTGCTCATTATTTGTCCTTTTGTGCATGTTTAATCAAACAGTTGCAAACTGAAAGTATTTGCACAAGACACACCCAAAATAAAACATTCATGTACACATAACAGAACAGCAATGAAAACTATGTTCAAAACACATAGAACCTGCAGTATCCCTTTAGCTGCAACAAATTCCTTGTAAACTAGTTCTGAGAATTTGGTGTGAGATCAATATAGCAACTCTGCCTAATAAAGTACAAATATTCTCATTACCTATATGTAAATGTAGTTTACATATAGTTTACAAGTTTCCTCAGGCCTGTCCTCTGAAGAGACAGAAGGGTCGAAAAGGCATATGAAATTAAAAAAGGTCACATATATACTAGTGATACTGTTAGAGTGCAGGGCTCAAAATTAATGGTAAACTGTCAACTAATGGTTAGTAATATTCAACCTTTGGTTAATAAAAATGTGTCCAACTAACCCGATATGGTTAGTAAAATTTTCTAACATATGTAAACATTGGTAGACTTCAGGACAATTAGCACGTATACCCACCTCTCAGAAGAATACTTAGAATACTCAAGTTGTTTAATCAACTCTAAAAACTCCTTTTAGAGAATGTGCTGTAGATGTAATCTGTTCTTGACTAATCATGGTAAACGAGAGGGAAATAAAATAGGTGCATAATTGTCAATGTTTTTATGGTCACCAAGCAATTTCAGCCACTCTTTAATTTATCCTAGACGTTACTATCAAAATGTTCAATATTTGAGATATCGTAACTTGTGAGCTTGGATACCAAACTTCATAATTTGGTTAATAAAAAAGATGTCTACTAACCCGAAGGGTTAGTGATCCAAAAATTAAATTCAAGCCCCACAGTAGCTCACTCAGTTCAGATATTAATAATAGTATCTGAAAAAGAATACTCACAGAGGACTGTCAGGTTTCCTGGAGATGAAGTAGTCATATTCACAGTGTTACTGGCCACACATTTATACTGGCCTTCATCTTCTCGCACAATATTGGTAATTGTCAAACTTGATGTGTTTCCTGTAAACTCAGTTCTAATCCTATGATTTTCTGATATATCATGTCCATCTTTTGTCCATTTCCCATCTGGTGTGGGATTTCCATAAACTGTGCAATCTAGAGTTACATTTTGCCCTACTGTTGCTGTTACAGGCTGTGGACTGCTAATAAATTGAGGGCGAACTGGAAAAAAAAAGGCAAACAGATCTCTGAGTATGATTAAGCATTTTTTAAATACTGTATAATTATTATACCAGTAGCATTCAATAAGGCAATAAAATTACTTTTAACAAAATACTGATCTGAATTTAGTTCTTCTTAATCTAAAGAAATGGTTTCAAAGTTTCATCTAGAATACATTAAAACAGTAACTGCTTGACAGAGGTCAGCACTTGCATTCAAGGCATCCATCCTTCTGTGAAGTAACTTGCAGTTTAATACAATGCAAAATAGGTGAGATGTTTTCTTATCTACTCTTAACAACAAACAAGGACAACTATTTGTTCTTCTAACTCACCTAGACACTGAAG